CTGGTGTAGTGGAAGGTGTCCCTGCCCATGGCAGGGGGGTCGGAACTAGATGATCTTTGAGGTCCCTTCCAACCCAAACCATTCCATGATTTTATGTCTTCTAGGTCACTTCCCTGCTCTGTAGCAGCAATTACACCACCTTGAACCCACACTTCCCATCACTGGAGTTGGAACAGCATCTCCTTCATCACCAGCATGCTGCAACAACACACGTGCCCAGACCGTGCCCTGCTATCATGGGAACAAGCAGTGGGACGTAACATGAAACAGCCGGCATCAGGGCTGCCCTGCCTGGTTCTCCATGCCCAGGGCAAAGCCCGGTCCCACACCCTTGCGCAGGCAGTGCCGGTGGGCAACACGGGCTCCTCTCACCGCCCCGTCAGCAGCTTCAGGCACGTGAGGAGCCAACAGCTTTTATTAATGCCATTTTATTCCCTCCTCCCCCCCCCCAGTCATTTATAACAGAAATTGCCAGGAGACACGGGTTTGGAGAATGCTTGAGCTGGGGATGAGGCACTTAGAGTTCAAGCTGGCTACAGCAACACAGACCAACCCATGGAAACCAGGAGCGTACGCTTGGAAGGGGTCGGAGCCACTCGGCCTCTCTCCCTATAGCCCTTGGCACAGTGGAAAAGAAACGCGATATTTTGGTAGGGCATTCTGGAGATGTTTGTGAAGGTCACGGCCAGCCTCACCATCTCCTCCTCTAACACTCTCCTTCCTTTCAGCTTCGTTCCTGCAGTCGTTGCTATCACCAAGTGACCACCCGAGGGTGGTTTTGGGAATGTACCTGGTCGTTGGTGACCACAGCACTTGCTTTAGAAACCTTGCCCAGCCCGAACAGGGAGAGGGATCACGCTGCCAACAGCCCATCGCCCAAGCCCTCTCCTCCTCCCCACCAGAACTGCCCTGTTTTGGCTGGCCTGCCTCAAAACCTACCACAATTTTACCATTTTTAACCCGTTTCTCTCTCCAGAAGGCAAGAGGAGCGTGCATCTTCTGCCTCAAATGAGCAAACGACCTTCCCTGGATAACGGAAGATGAAACACACTTTAGAAGACTCAGAAAAATAATATTTTTGACCTCATGAAAACTCACTTCTGGCAGTGGCAACGCGTCGGTCAGACGAAGCTGCTCATCACCTGGACCACCACAAAACCAACATCACGACCCAACC